GGGTATCAGAATATGTGCTTATAAAAATTGCAGAGGAATCTTTGCTGTCCATGAAGAATGTCTGCTTGGGCAACCTGAAAGGCTGAATTAACCATGATAGGACTTGTATTTATGATTCACAGTAGAGAACAGAGTGCAAATTCAATTTTTGGGTTATCAAGACATCTCTTTGCCTCAGGACTGTGATGTTGGCAGAATTTTATTGCATCAATACCRCTGAATTTAATCTCTTTAAATGGTTGACAGTTGAATTAGTATTTTCAATTTCAAGCAATACTTTGATTCATTGTGGTCTGCCACACACTGTGATTGATTGCTGTTGTCCCTGTCAAAGTTCAGGTGTTTGTATCTGTAGCAGGACTTGGTACCTTTTTGGTCATGCACATATTAGTGATTTTTTCTGTCTTAATTTGAGAGAAGATACTTTTCCTCTGCTACATGTTACAGAATATGCATTTTGACAAATCTTTTCACACAGTGGTTCATTAACATGATTAACATATAAGTGTCACCGAATCTCCATGTGGGTTATTTTTTCCACATAAAATTTGACTCTGTGAGTTGTCTCTGAATTTTTCTGGTTGCTCCTGGTGAATGTGGGAGCACATAGCAGATACACAGAGAGCTCTGCCTGTTACACTTATTTTAAAAATCTTGTCAGTGTCAAACCCTGCCCACCCCCAGCCTTTTCTATAGATGAAAATGCTGTTTACTGATGACAGYACTGACAGAAGCAGTGCTGTAAAGRCAGTGATGCATCTAAGGGCTAATTACAATTAATAATCAGAAATAATTAAATGCATCTGCTTTGTTTCAGAGGAAAACAGCTGATCTTGCGAATGTTCTTTGTTAATAAAATACACAATATCTGTGAAAGACCTCTACAGGTAAGACTTGATCTCCAAGTTCTCTTCCCACCTAGTTTTGAAGAAGAGCAAACTTCTATTTACAAAACAGGATACTATTATATACTAATAACATTAATATATTGTTACACATCAATAGCATTATCAAATAGTGTAGCATTCCATACAGAACCAAAATCTCCTTTCCAACATTTATTTTAGAGAACTTACCACTTTCCATATGCAAGTGGTTGTAACACAATAATTAAGCTGGCACAGTTACATGAAAAGGTTGATCTACCATTTTTGGCTAGACCCAAAATGCACGCCTACCAAAGTGTTTTCCAAGCTATTTCTCTTTCAAATGAAAAATAAATTTGCTAAGCCAGTGAATTAAAATAAACCAGCTGCATGCAAAGGTGCAAAACCCAACCAGACAGGCARGGGCAGAAGGGGTTCAGTTTTGTGTGAGATACTGGTAAAAGGCTGATGGGTTCAATCGTGACAAAAAGAGCAAACCACTCCAAGAAAGTGTCAGGTGTTCATTTCTAAGGGCTTCAGAAAAGGTGATTTCTTAGATTTGAATCTCTTTGTGGATTGAAACGGGCATTTCATGGCTTTTTCTCCACACATGATGTTTCACAKCAAGCACAGTCAGGTGCAATTTCTCCCTCAGCCCACAGCCTGGCTGTGTGAGRTTGAAGAAATCTGTACTAATGTTATCTCCAACTTATTTCCAGAAACCCTTTGAGTGCTTTTCTCCCCGTAAACTTGACAGCTAGAAAATCTGGCACAGTTTCTCAAAATATCTCTTTTTCACCCTGAGATTTGCTACCTGGATTCCATGGCAGCTAAGGATTCTCTTCTGTTCCTATAACATCATTCTGTTCCAAAGCTACAGACAACAAACATTAGGTAACACCAGGGCTTTTTCTGACTTTAGGAATAAAAACTCAGGATCTGGTGATCCAATGAAATAAACACTGAAATTATTCTGCTTACTGTAGTTTTGGACTTATGCAACAACTTCATAGGAACTTCTCTTAACACAAGTTAATTATTACATACCTTTAGCCTTTTAATGTTTTAATTATTAATCCTGATGAGGACATCTGAGG